AAAAAAAAAAAAAAATATATATATATATATATATAAAATACACACATATATCAAAATGTGTTGAAAGCATTAAAATTATCCATCACATGAAAAAAGAGAAAGCATCCTTTACCTCATCTAAACGACATGGCAAAGTTAATGCTTGGTACTTAACACTAGCTCTATATCTGTATTATTCGCTCTTGAGTAAAAAAGTCAAAAGCAGCAGCTGGCCACACCTGGCTCGCACTTACCAATCTCCTGCCGCGTGCTGCATACTCCCACTCCATACTCCTCCAGCACTTTGGCAGCTGCTTCCTGACACGATCCAGTGTTCCGTGCAAATCCAAGATAGTTGTAGGAACCCATGTTTATAACATCTTTAATAATATTCCCTGTATACCTGTGTTTCAATAGCATAAAACTGAATGAAACTCATGAGCAAAAACATACTGAAATGTGGTTGTCAATGCACTGGAAGCACACAAGTACACACCATCTGAAGGAAGCAGAGACCAAGGTCTACCGGAAAAGCATCTCAAACTCACTACCAACTAGGGAAATGGAAACTAAGACAAAAAACCAATTTTCACTTCTGAATAGTGATAAAGATTCAAAAACTGATGAAACCCAGTGTTGGCCAGGACGATCTCATACACAGTAGATAGGAATACCAGTCAGCATGTGATTTGGGGGGCAGACTGGCAATACTTATCAATAAAAAGATACACAGTCTCTGTGACTCAGCAATTCCTACACGTGGGTAAATACACATGAGGACCCTTTAAGAGCCACTGTGTAATTTGCCACATTCCTTCCCCAGTCACAGGGACCAGTGACATCCCGTAGGGTGGAGGTTCAGTCAGTCTGGGTCCCTAAGTAAGGACAACACGGTTCAGAGGCCCAACCAACCAAGGATAGACATGAAGTATGGACAAGAATAAACTTCTGCCAGACATGGTGGTTCACACCTGTAATCCCAGCACTCTGGGAAGCTAAGGCAAGCAGATTGCCTGAGCCCAGGGGTTTGAGAGCAGCCTGGGCAACTTGGCGAGACCTCATCTCTACAATAAATAAAAAATTTAGCTGGATGCAGTAGCGCATGCCTGTGATTCCAGCTACTTGGAAGGATGAGGTAGAAGAGGTGGAAGAGGTGGAAGGATCATCTGAGCTCAGCAGGTTGAGGCTGCAGTGGCCATGAGCGTACTGTTATAATCCAGCCTGGGTGACAGAGTAAGACTCTGACTCAAAAGAAAAAAAAAGAATAAAATTCTTTTGTGTAAACTCTAAGTTTTTGGGGTTATTAACATAGGGTGACTCCGCCAAACCTGCCATACCATGGCACATCTATACTATAGAATACGATGCAGTTACTATAGAGGACAAACTTGCTATGCATATAACACATGACAAAGATGTTATCAATATGTTAGTAAGTCAAAAAAGCCAGCTGTCAAATAATTTGTATAATATGATCCCATTTTTGTAAATTAAAAAACCACCTGTGTGTAACCTCAATAGACACACTACAAGCATACCTCACAGAAAACATCTGGAAGAGAAACTTAAAATAAAGTAATAACAATGGTCACTTCTGGGCAGTGAAGGAGGATTTGTGAAACAGTTCCCCTACAGAAGAACAGGGGTTAGTTGTCAAGGGGGACTTTCAGTTTATCTGAATTATTTGTCTTTTTAAATTTTAATGGCAATGCAAATAATATAATACTTGTACAATCTAAACAATAAAATGTTAAGAGTATAAAAAGTTTTCTAAGTCATTCAATTCATTTCAGTAAAAATCCTCCACATATCCTGAAATCTTTTAAGAAATCAGACATCCAGAAATCAATTTGGATACCTGACCCTGCTACGTGGCAAAATGTAAAGGATAGCTTTTCATTCATTCTTTCTTTGTAATAAGTAAAATTTTGTTCGACTATAATCCCCCACAGTATCATATGTAATAAAAAACTGAATTTTAAAAATCCCAGTAACAATGACAAATACGTTAGGAAACTAATCACATTATAGTGTATCCTCAGCTGCTACTCCTAATTTTAAGGGAATACATGATTCGCAATAAAATATTTTCTCAAGGAAAAGAAACCCTCTTGCTGGGTCAAGCACTAACTTCCCGGCTTCACCTCACCTCACCTGAACGACCAGTTGTAATCATGCGACTCCCTCTCCATGATGTCCACCCTGGCCCCAGGCACACTGCAGATCGGCCGATTCCAGTTGTCTCTTATCCTCATGTAGAGGTTCCTTGTATAGAAGTTTTCAAAATCTTGATACAATGACACAAAGTCCTGCCAAGAAATAGTGACATGCTATAAATTTAACTGAGTTACTTTTAAAACAAATTTTACATCTTCTCTTTTCATAGGGCAAAAGCACTTGAGCATGACATATCAATTACATTCAATTAACTGACACATCGGCAGTTAATCCTGGGAAGGCTGGATTCTGTTTATTTTAACACACCTCTTATTTATTAAGAAGGAAGAAATCACTTAGTTTTGATAGTTGACCTATACTACATTTCAAATAACTGACTTCATGAATGCAGTGCCAATGAATTAAATTTTTTAATAAAGTAGACCTCATGAAATACAAGTTGAACAATTCTGTCATTAAATAACTTTCCTTCCTAATAATCATAGCAAGACTTCACTTCCACCTTTCCCTCTCAAGTAATATAGAGGGAAATGCTTTAAAGTCACCAAAATTACAATCTCAAACAGAAAAATCATTCTAAAAATAAGATTCCATCCTCTGCTTATTTTCAAAGATCAAAATGAAACAACTCCAAAAAGAAAATAATAAGCAAAAACAAAAAACACTAAAAGGCAGGTTGTAGGAAGCTTCCCATCTTACATTCTTTCCCCTTGGACAGAAGTTTAAAAAATAAAAGAAAATACATTCCCAAAATGAATTTCCATGCCCAAGTACTTAATGTTTCCCTCTCACCTTGAGATTAAGCTGTACTGAAATTCAAGTCTGTAAAAACTCAAGTCACAGTAGAGCTGAAATGCATGCATAAGCCGGACTCAGTGGCTCAGCCTGTAATCCTGCGCCTTTGGGAGGCTGAGGTGAGTGGATTGCCTGAGCCCACGGGTTCGAGACCTGCCTGGGCAACTTGACCAGACCTCATCTCTACAATAAATCAAAAAATCAGCTGGGCGTGGTAGCGCATGCCTGTGATTCTGGCTACTCAGAAGGCTGAGGCGGAAGGATTGCTGGAACCCAGCAGGTTGAGGCTGCGGTGGCCGGGAGCGGCCACTGCATTCCAGTCTGGGCAACAGAGTGAGACTCCAACTCAAAAAAAAAAAAAAAAAGAAATGCATGCATAATGCTATGCCCAAGTGTATGACCCAACCACAAGAAATCTACTGCAAATGTCTTCTTCTTCTTTTTTTTTTTTTAAATAGAGACGGGGGTCTTGCTATGTTGCCCAGGCTGGTCTCGAATACCTGGGCTCAAGCAATCCTCCCACCTTGGCCTCCCAAACTGCTGAAATTACAGGCGTGAACCACAGTGTCTAGCCCTACTGCAACTCTTGAATGTAAAGGGTAAACTAAACAAAAAAGAAAATGAAACACTGTTTTACGAATCAGGAAACCACTGAGCTTCTAGACCTCAGATATGGGCTTGGCGCCAATCTACATTAATCTGTTAAAAAAATAATCAAAAACATTGGGTTGACTGGCTTGGGCAATGTAGTGAAACCTTGTCTCTACAAAAATACTTTCAAAAAATTAGTTGGGCGTGGTGGCACACACTTGTAGCCCTAGCTACTCAGGATGCTAAGGTGGAAGGATCGCCTAAGTCCAGGAAGTCAAGGCAGCCATGAGCTATAACTGTCATGATCTTGCCAATGTACTCCAGCCTGGGCAACAGACTGAGATGTCGAATCAAAAAATAAAACAACAACAACAAAAACAAAAACACTGGGTTGGGTGGGGTGGTTCGAGCCTGTAACCTGTAACCCCAGCAACTCAGGAGATTGAGGCAGGAGAATCACTTGAGACCAGGAGTTTGAGACCAGCCTAGACAATGTAGCAAGATCTCATCTCTACAGAAAAAAAAAAAAACTTTTAAAATTAGCTGGGTGTGGTGGTGCATGTCTGTAGTTCCACCTACATGGGAGGCTAAGGCAGGAGGATCCCTTGAGCCCAGAAGTTTGAAACTACAGTGAGCTATGATCGCACTACTGCATTCCAGCCTGGACAACAAAGTAAGACCCCCATCTCTAAAAATCAAACAAACAAACAAAAACACTGAAAATCTTAAGCCTTATTCTGTAAAAGAATTTCATTGCTAAAGAAGTCTCTATGTGGAACTCTAAAATTAACAACCTTCTATGGCACTGGACTCCTAAGGGCCAATTAAATAAGCCTCACATGATCTCCTTAAACCAAGCTGAGCAGAGTCAGAAAGCAGGAATTTGCAGTAACTGATACCATCTCTCTCCTAATCAGTCCTAATAGTTACTTTTCCTCAGAACCAAAAATATTCATAAATATAACATGTCTATCACAATTGGAAATTTTTCATTTAATTAGTATGAGAGCCCTTTTACAATCTCCTCTTCTAACAAGAATACTGGTTGCATGAAAATAGAAAGAGAGACACCAAAATCTAACTTAAGACTTTTCTTTGGCTATTCTTCTCCATATGTTTATTTCCCAAAGGAAAAAACAAAAAAGCAGTCTCAGCCTTTTCAGTTTACATCAAATAGAGTAACGGTGCTAACTCTTCTCATGAGACCACAGCATGGATGACCTCACTTCTGTATAACTTTTCTTCACACCGCACACTGATGCTCAGCATCTCAACTAGAATGTTAAGAGAAATATTTCTTTGTAGATATATTTTTATGAGCAAGAAAGGGCAATGCTTTTGTTTTCACTAAGCTTCAGAAGAAACTTCCAGAGCCTGGTTCAAATATCAACAGCATTATCAAACTCCAAGACAGAGCAGGGGCTGCAGGCGAAATGAGGAGGCGCTTCATCCCCTGGCCTTGGACTAAGCCAAGACCAGCGGCGCCATGTGTGAGGTCAGGAGGATGGAGTAGCCAGTGTCCTGAGCCGAGGACTGTCACTGCCATGGTCAGAGACCTCCAACTCTCCTTAGGAGACGATTAAGTCCCTGAGACAGGAACACACTAGCACAGAGTGGAGGAGGAGAAACTGTCACAGCGAGGATGTTGAGTCCAAGAGCAGGTGGGACAGGTCGGCAGAATAGAGGGATGCATGGCCCAAGTCCCTGCCTCCCTTCACTCTCTAGCTGGGTTCCAGGGTGGCAGCTGTGACTGCAGTTGGTAGATTCACTGGAAAGATCTGAAGGATCTGAAGCTAACCAGACTCCCTGCCGCTTAGCAATAAAGACAAGGGAAGGGGCGGCCACCATCTGAGATCCAGTTCTGGGCAACAGGAGTGTCTGTTTCTAGCAATATCTCATACACTTCAAATATTCTAGGATGAGGGTTAAACTAGGGGGCTTATCTTTTCACTCATTCACTCAAGGATCTTTTACAAATACTCAATATACGTTGGACTCTTTGCTACACTTTCAGGATACATTAAAGAACAAGACTATGATACCTTCACTATTCCAACCCTCATTCCCCCATCCCCACCCTCCTTCTTCCTCCTCCTCAGTGTGGTCACTGTGAAATGACTAGTCAGGGTTGATCTCACTTGGTCACGGACTTGTACTCAGACAGAATGCTTAGTCACTAACCAAACATGTGCTGAGCAGTACCTTCCAGGCACTAAACTGGGCACTGGGGATAAAAATGAGTAAGAACGTGGCCTGGCAGTGGTCCACACCTATAATCCCAACATTTTGGGAGGCCGAGGTGAGAGGATCACCTGAGCCCACGGGTTTAAGACCAGCTTGGGCAACTTGGTGAGACCTCATCTCTACAATAAATCAAGAAAAATTAGTTGGGCATGGTGGCGCATACTTGTAGTTCCAGCGACTTAGAAGACTGAGACAGAAGGATGGCATGAGCCCAGCAGGTCGTGGGTGCAGTGGCCGTTAGCATGCCACTGTCCTCCAGCCTGGGCGACAGAGTGAAACTCAGACTCAAAAAAAAAATGAGTAAGAACAACCTCTGTGCCCCCTAAGATGTCTCAGTGTAGTAGAGACGCCCAGAAATAAACACAACAAAGTACTACAAAGGCAGGCTTGCCCAGAGAGGGAGAGAACCTGATGGGTGAGTGACAACAATCAAGGTCCAGCAGTCTTAAGGAAGCACTCTTCACAGACGTTCTTTCTGAAGACCCCCACAAATCTACATCTAAAGAGGGAAAGACAACACCTTGGTTGGATTACAAACTGGATCGCTGGGGCTTGAAATACTCAGCAGCTAAGTGACTTCTTAACGCAAGAGAAAAATTCAAACTCATGAATCTGCTGATTAGGGATCAATGGAGACCTCATTGGGGTCATCTCAGTAATTCAGCAATAAATATCCTTTATAGATTAAGTCTATTTAAGGTCATTTACTTCTCTTAAAGCCTATTTACTTCTCTTTTTTTTTGAGTTGGAGTCTCACTCTGTCACCCAGACTGGAGTGCAGTGGCATGCTCCCAGCCACCGCAGACTCGACTGTTGGGCTCCGGCAATCCTTCTGCCTCAGCCTTTCAAGTAGCTGGAACTACAGGTGTGTGCTACTACACGCGGTTAACTTTTTTTATTTTATTGTAGAAATTAGGTCTTGCCAAGTTGTCTAGGCGGGTCTCGAACCCGTGGGCTCAGGCAATTCACTCACCTCAGCCTCCCAAAGCACTGGGATTACAAGGCTGAGCCACCGAGCTTGGCTAGGCCTATTTATTTCTAGAAAACATATTATACTTTTTAAACAAACAGGTATAACCTATTCCAGTGCCTGAGCAGGCCTTACAATCACAGAAGAAAACATCGACTTTCTAACAACCATCCGTGTTTGTTAAGCACAATTCTGCCCCAACAGAGATGTCCAAACACTTTTACACAATGACGATAAAGATGATACAGAATCACAACAGCAGCAGTCAGAGCTCCCAACGAGTGAGTAACTGTGCTGAATCAGGCAAGTGCCAAGTGCTTTACACTCAGATATTAGCCCTGCACACTTCTAAAGAAGATAGCCTTTCTCCCATTTTCAGAGGACTAAATGGTTTTCCCAGTTAGGAAACTAGCCAGGGATGGAGCCAGGAACTGATCCAGGCCTTTTAATTCCAGTCTATACTCCAAACCGCAGTGCCACACGGTGACACTGATGTCCCTCGGTGATAGTGATGCCGCTAAATCTATCAGA